CACCTATTGAATAAGAACCCGTGCCTTTGGATATAACTCGGAGGTATGAAAGCCTGATCCTATGGAGAGGATTTTTAAAAAAGGAAGGTCGATCATTTTTGGTGCCAGATTTTCAGTGCGGGATTTTTAGTATGGGACAGTCAGGGACAATTGATCACTGGACATTTGGTCACTGGGACATTTGGTCACTGGGACAATTGATCATTTGGTCACTGGGACATTTGGTCACTGGGACAATTGATCATTGGGACAATTGATCACTGGACAATTGATCATTGGGACGATTGATCATTGGACATTTGGTCACTGGGACAATTGATCACTTGACAATTGATCATTGGGACAATTGATCATTGGTCATTTGGGTCATGAAGGGGGGGGGGGGTAATTCAAAGTCTAGGTCAACGTCTAAGGAAGCCTATGTCTAGTGCCCTACTGTCTACACCTATTGAATAAGAACCCGTGCCTTTGGATATAACTCGGAGGTATGAAAGCCTGATCCTATGGAGAGGATTTTTAAAAAAGGAAGGTCGATCATTTTTGGTGCCAGATTTTCAGTGCGGGATTTTTAGTATGGGACAGTCAGGGACAATTGATCACTGGACATTTGGTCACTGGGACATTTGGTCACTGGGACAATTGATCATTTGGTCACTGGGACATTTGGTCACTGGGACAATTGATCATTGGGACAATTGATCACTGGACAATTGATCATTGGGACGATTGATCATTGGACATTTGGTCACTGGGACAATTGATCACTTGACAATTGATCATTGGGACAATTGATCATTGGTCATTTGGGTCATGAAGGGGGGGGGGGGTAATTCAAAGTCTAGGTCAACGTCTAAGGAAGCCTATGTCTAGTGCCCTACTGTCTACACCTATTGAATAAGAACCCGTGCCTTTGGATATAACTCGGAGGTATGAAAGCCTGATCCTATGGAGAGGATTTTTAAAAAAGGAAGGTCGATCATTTTTGGTGCCAGATTTTCAGTGCGGGATTTTTAGTATGGGACAGTCAGGGACAATTGATCACTGGACATTTGGTCACTGGGACATTTGGTCACTGGGACAATTGATCATTTGGTCACTGGGACATTTGGTCACTGGGACAATTGATCATTGGGACAATTGATCACTGGACAATTGATCATTGGGACGATTGATCATTGGACATTTGGTCACTGGGACAATTGATCACTTGACAATTGATCATTGGGACAATTGATCATTGGTCATTTGGGTCATGAAGGGGGGGGGGGGTAATTCAAAGTCTAGGTCAACGTCTAAGGAAGCCTATGTCTAGTGCCCTACTGTCTACACCTATTGAATAAGAACCCGTGCCTTTGGATATAACTCGGAGGTATGAAAGCCTGATCCTATGTTGAGTTTTGGCAGTTCAGTTTGGAATGCTTTGCTAAGGTGCTCTGTAGTTTCGTCAGAGGTTAGTTTCGTCAGAGGACATTTTCGTCAGAATTAATTTCGACAGAGGTCATTCTCGTCAGAGGTCAGTTTCGTCAGAGGGTTGTTTCGTCAGAGATGAGTTTCGTCAGAGGTCCTTTTCGTCAGTAAGGCTCCCTTGTTAAAAATCTAATTAAACGGCGGTATTATGACACATACATACTAGGTTATTTGTTTCTGGATCGATTTGGATAAATGAGGTGTCATTCGAAAGAGCTTTAAAAACTGAGCCGAATTAGTTTTGGAAGAAGTTTATCCGACATTACGGGACCGAATTAAAGACTCCTGAATACTGAAAAAGCACAGGGAGGTATCACCTCGTCGAGCAGGAGTCAGCCCGCCGATCTGACTCGAATGAGCTGCCATTTGTATACTCGAATTTTTCACCACAAAAATCGCTTTTCAGAGCTCTTTCGAATGACACCTCATTTGTCCAAATCAACCCAGAAACAAATAACCTATTATAAGTCAGAAACCACCGTGTAATTAGATATTTAACAAGGGAGCCTTACTGACGAAAAGGACTTCTGACGAAACCTATCTCTGACGAAACAACCCTCTGACGAAACTGACCTCTGACGAGAAGAGCCTCTGACGAAACTAATTCTGACGAAAATTTCCTCTGACGAAACTAACCTCTGACGAAACTACTCGACACGTTTGCTAATACATAAAAGAATTCACGGTATTATTTATGGGGTATTAAATAAAAACCCAAATTTCCAGAGTGATAAACTCGAGGTCATGTTAGACAAAAAACTTATGAGAAATTTGCACCTAATTTCGTGTCGTGCTATCTAATCGAATGGTTAATTTTCTGGTTAATTTTTCAAACATATTCTAGAAACTTGTATAAGACAGAAAATTTCGACAAAATTATTAAAATTTTATTTGTCATTTGTGAGTTATCTCATGCCAGTTCTTGGGGTCATACTTATGCGGACTTATTCATATGTATGTATGTACAGAATGTTCAGACTTCCTTATTTTCGCTCGAGTGGCATTGCGAAAAATATTTTTTTATTAATGTCTCATTGAATAATGCCAGAAGGAAACAGAATGAAAATGAAGGAGGGAGGTTTTAAGTTTTTTATTTTGTACATATGAATGATTCGGGTGAGGGGCGGAACAAGGAATGCCAAAACACGGAACGGACAGAACATGGAACACAAAACATGGAAAAGACAAAACAAGGAACGACCAAAATACGGACCATACCAAAACACGGACAAGACAAAACAAGGTCTTACCAAAACACGGAATGGCCAAATCACGGAACGACCAAAACACGGTCTAGAGAATATTTTTAAAATTTTTCAGGATTATTTTTAAATTTTGTTTTTTCAAATATTCTGATTTTAATTAATTTTTTTTAAAAAATATTCTGATTTTTAACAATATTCTGATTTAAATAAATTGTGATTTAAAAAAATATGATTTTAAAAGTATTCCGTATTTTGGTCATTCCGTGTTCTGTCCGTTCCGTGTTATGGTAAAACCTTGTTTTGTCTATTCCGTGTTTTGATATAGTCCGTATTTTGGTTGTTCCTTGTTTTGTCTTTTCCATGTTTTGTCCGACCGTGTTTTGTCGTTCCTTGTCTTGTCCGTTCCATGTTTTAGTCCGACACGGAATGATTCAGCCTAAAAAGGAACGCAAGAACTGGTATGCTGCATATAATTGACAAATAACTTTTTGATCATTCTTTCATTATCCTGGCATTTTTTAAATTTTTCTTTAATCTTTGTGTACTTTGTCATAAGTTCCTAAAATATTTTGTTTTTGGCATATTAATAATTAATTACCAGCATTTTTGTAGGAAGAAACATATCCTGTATTGACAACAATATCTTCTGTAATAGTATTTTTGTAAGTAATATTTGTTTATTTAAATTTCGTAGTACTTATTTAATATCCTACTCCGAACGCTTATTTGAGCTCAGATTAATTTTCCTCCTATTCCTTTCTACCTCGGAACGGTCGAATTCCATTTTTTATAACTGTTAACAAAAAATTTTTACAAAAATTTTGTGGGTGCTTAAACTTTTGCTTATCAAGACTCAAATATGCGGAGCCGGTAGGATATTAAATAAGTACCAATTTGTGTCTAAAATTTTTTTCTTCTACACATATGCATTTTACTATTAGAATCCGAACCTCTTCCTGCTTTTCCCTTTCCTTTTCCATCTGTATCAAATCTTTCTTTGTGTGCTCCTTCAATAATACATTTTATTTTTTTAATAAATGTACTATGATTATGATTAAATTAAATCTTTTATGTAGCTTTCCTACCTGTATATTTGTTGTGGTCTGTCAATCTATAATAGAAATGGAATTTTGTTCTATGCAACTAGGTTTTGAAATGGTACCTTTCATAGACATTTCCTTCAGTTGATACTTTTATTGCAGTTTTTAACGTAGGTAATTCAATGGCCTCCAACTTTGAGCAGATGCTATCAATTTCTGCCTATTTATTTTACTTTGAAATATTTTACATTAAATAAGGTATCACCTGAACATCATTTTTGCTATTTTTCGATCTGTCCTTTGCTACATTTATGATCACTTGTTGTGTCTATTGATAATATTAAATCCATATAAAAATTGTAATACCTCATTAAATGTTGCCTTCTTTTTTTGCCTTTAATTTAGTTATTACTTTTAATTGATTATATTATGAGTATTTTATACATGTACACAATATTAAACATACCCTGTAACTTTTGAAAATGCCTGTTGAAATTAAGCAAGAATTAGATTTTTATAAATATAAAATTCTTGAAAATATAATTTTTATCTTAACTCACAATTCCAGTCATGGTCGTTGTTATCAATTTCCCATCAATAACATTAGCATCCTTTAGCCTTAATTTTAGTAATGGTCTCTATTTTAGTGTATGATTAATTCTTATGTTAGAATATTACCATTTGTCAAAATTTTTTCCAGTCATCTCCACTGTTTTTGGAGCTTGAGCAGAAGTATAGCCGAATTTTGCGAATGATTCCCATCTAATTTTCAATAATTAATGTTATTAGATAATGGCTCACTTTCGTTTGATTTCTTTTGGATCCTTCCATCGGAATTCGTAATCGATCTTTTCAGAAGAAGTTTCACTATGAGACATTTTTATGCAATACTTTTAGCATCAAAATAATTCTAGAAATAATAAAAAAATATTACTCTAACTTTAGAAACTGGCAGATAGACACTATTGCATGCCTAACGGTTTTTCAGCTGACAGATATTTATGCTGAGGGCATTTCCTAATTCCAATGTGTACTATTTTTTTAACTCGCAGTGTCAAGTTAGAGTTGCTGCAACTGCCTCTTTCCGTTGTATTGTTTGAAATTGATTTTTTCGCATTAATTTTATGTACATATCTGTCAGTATACATATACATAGATAAATATGTATATGTTATATCTCAACTGAAGTTTTTTTATTAAATTGTTTTTTTATCTTTCTAGTGAACGCATATGTATTAATACAATATGTTCAATTATGTAGACGTACAATTTCAAAGTGTAGTACAATTCGCAAATAGCAAATTCTCAAATTTCTATGCTCTCAATTTTACAGCCTCAACTAGTTGAGTTGTTAAATCCTAAACTCTTAAATCCTAAATCCACAAATATTTTTTCTATTAGATACATCGCCATTTTATATTTCGACTTATTTCATAGGTTGAAAATATGTATGTACTTCTATATTCTAACCTGTATATTTTTTGCTTTTTCGAAAATAAATTATGAATAGCTATTAAAAATGGGTACGTACCAAAACGGCGCGCAGCCATAAAGGCGTGCAAATATTGAAGCAAGTCTTTCTGGCCGCGCGCCGTCTTGGGTGTGTCACATTAAAAATATCCTCAAATCTTAATAGAATTATCAAATTAAGTTTAATATATTTTTGCCATTTTAAAATAGTAGTCACTTTTTATCCAGCTTTCGATTAAATGCAGATATATGAAAATGAAAACATATCATTGATCCATGGCTCAATCATCATTCTTATCCATTTGTTGGATTCGCATCGGCAAAATATAAGTGTATCGTTAACATGTACAAGCCTATCACCGGCTAAAATTAATACATAAATAAAGTATAACTAGTAATCTGTTCTAATGTTAAAATTTTTATTATCATATTCCCTATTGTCTACTTTATATTTTCCTTTACTAAATTTATAACTCACTTTCCATGTCCAATCTTCCTATAACACGAGCTAAAGACCGCATTCCTTTACATTTGATATTGAATATTTTATCCAACGGCCTACAGAAAGCAATTCTAATATGATTGTTCAGTTCCAATGTTTGTTCGATACTATCAAATTTACCACATTCTTCGTCATCTAAATGCATTAAAGCTTTAATTAAGAGCTATAAATTGAGTCGAGAGTACAGTTTTTTTTATAGTGAAACTAGGGTAGAAACCTGACCCCGAAGGCTCTACCCCGGCAAACTCCGATCTCCGACATACCCAACCCCACAGTCGGGTTGCTACCCTAGTCATTATTATTCAAATTTCACTCATTTTAAAAATCACCTAAGCAAGAGCATATTTGATGTTGAACCTTTTCTACAGGCTCCATGGAGTAATCGTATGTTGGTGTAGTTGGTACAAATTCATCATATATTGGGAAGGACATACTCATCGGCACAAAATGTAATTTTTCATCGTCATTGTTTTCTCCTGATCCTTCAGACACACTTTCTTCATTTCTTTCATTATGTCCTTCTTTGATGTCCTCCCTTTCATCATTAACTAATTCTGGAAATTTCATTAATTCAACTGCACATGCCTGTTGATAATTTCGACATTTTGGATAATTATTCGGCGATACGAGAATTATTAATAAATTTAATGCCAAAATAATATAACAGGTATTTATCATTTGCTTATGTAGTATATAGGACAAGTTAAAGTCATTCTTTGTCTGAATCTTTCTTTTAAAACACATAATTAATTGTCTCGAATTTTTAAATGCAGAATAAATTCAGGTCTAGGTTAAACTGTTTTCTTCTACGTGTCAGTCTAAAACGCGGAATAAACAAAACACTGAATATTTCTAAAATCAGATATTTTTTAAATCAGAATATTTTGAATCGAAATTTTAAAAAATTCTGATTTCAAAAATATTTTGATTTCAAAAATCTTATTTAAAAATTTGTCATTTTTGAATGATCATTTTTTGAGATCAGAATATTTTAAAATCATACAAGTATTATTTCTCTGGACTGTGTTTATCCCTCCGTGTTATGGAAAGACTGTGTTTTGTCTGTTCCTTTTTTCAAATTCCTCGCTTGCTTTAACTTATTAAGAAATGCATTATTAATGTATATTTTGGTATACTGGTGCAAATATTTGGCCCTAGGTTATTATGGGAGAATTAAGAGTGCAAAATAAGTTTTTAAGGAAAATAGTGCATGACAAACGATAAATTTTTGTCTTTAAAAAATAATAAAGGCATTCCTAATTAAGAAAAAATATTAAAAATATCTTATGTTTACGATTAAAATCGTAGGAACAGCTGATTTATGCCATGTTTATTAAATGAAAAATCTTGCTTGTTGGATGAATTGGCCTATTTAATTGGATCAATGTTGATGGTTTTATAAGAATGTAATGAAAAGATATAATAGATGAGCTAAATATAAAATTTCAATGACTAAGCACAGCAAAAGAAACAATTGGAAAACAATAAATAAATTTAATGAACAACTCTCGATTTGATGTGACTCAACCTGCTGACATATTATATTGTGGATATTAAGTCAAGATTTATTAAATTTTCAAACTTTATGGAATTATGATCTGAAACAGTTAAAATTAAATAGGTATATGTATAATAAACAAATTCAAAGGGGAAACTTAAGATTATCCATTGATCCTTAATCAATGCGATTTGTTACAAATAAATTCTCAAGAGAAAATTTTTACAATTACAAACAGAAAATCTTTAAAGCAAAATTTGGCCCTATAAGCAAATAAAGGAGAAAATTTTTTCATTACTTTTTTTCCTTTCCATACTTTTCCTTTATGTAAGTACAAATGTTCTTCAGACTGTTCGTCCTCGTTCACTTCCACTCAATTTGTCTATGGCCTATTCAAAAAATAGCATGAGTGAATAAAGAAAACTTTAAAAAATTGATGAGGGGCAACTTAAGCACTTCCAAAACATGACAATTCAAACAATTTTATCTTGATCTATCTAATTGAGCAAATCGGTTTCTTTTATCAGCAGATATTGTAATTATTTGAACTTTTCTTTATCTCTTATATTATTGAGCACTTTTTGATGAAAAAGGCATAAAAATTTATTAACATAAGACGTTTAATTGCCTATGTATTTAGTAATTTGTATGCATATCTATTATATTTCATCTATTGATTGACGTTGACTAAAGTGAACAAATAAAAGATGAGAGTCATATTTTAGTAGACATTAGATTGACTAGATGAAAGATGCGATAGATAGACATGTCAGAGCATATAGAAACATTTATGTATAGATGAGACGGCCTAGCAATGATAGATGAAAAGACATGACAGAAAATATGTAGTCATACTGCATTCAGTCGTTACTCATATAAATGTGCATGCATACTGCTATTCTGGCGGTGTTTTGATCATCTTTTATGATAAAACATACATATGTATTATTTCGTATCTTTTAAGATAAAATTGTTTTTAAGTTGATTGTTACTTTAAGATAAAGTTGTGTATACATATGTATTGTAAAAATTTTTTACTTAAAAATTTGCAAAATCTTCCCAATTTTAACTATAAATGACCTTATTATCGCAATTAAACCACTATGTACTTTATAAGATTCCAAATTTCAGGCAATGTGTTCTCATCGGCTGGCAATAGCAAAACTAGTTCGTGAATTTAAAGAACCCCTTTTTTCTCATTCGTCGCAAGTTTCTCGTCAAAATAAACAGGAGCTTTGGGAGTATATTAGGCAAGAAGCAGTTAATAAAGGAGCTTCCCAATATGCGAGGAAATCGTGGAAAGAGGTGTTTGATTATTAATTTTTATAAACTTATTCTTGAAACTTGTTATTGGGTGTAATAAGGGAATACATTGAACTTTCGATATGTTTTATATTTTTATAGATTCGAGATTGTGTTTGGGCTCCTATTAGACGTGACACAATGGCTAAACTGAACAAGGCTAAGACAGTTGGTGAAGACTCTGTTGTTTTTACCGAGGTGTTTATAAGATTAAAATATAATTTAAACTTAAAAATTTACTATCAGATCGACAAAATTGTTATTGAAATAATTAGCACAATAGGGCTTATGGGGTGGAGTGCTGAAGATGACATGAGATCTCCGATGGATATCTTTATGGAGAATGGCTTTAATGATAATATCTCTCACCAGCAACAGTTTTCCCGGGATAATACAGTTTCTTCTGGTAGTTTAATTCATTTTTATAAATTGCGCATCTTTAGACTTTTCAGGCTGTATTAACGATGATAGGGATAACTCTGATGATGATATTACTGAAATCGAGGGAAAGCCGTGTGATTCTTTAAGTCAAATGCTTGAATTAATTCGTGAAGCGCCCATGGCATCAATGAATTCTAAAACATGCTTCGATAGAAAAGATAATGAGAATGGCTTTAATAATAGAGATCAAGAGCGTCAAATTTCGGCATCGTCCAAGAGTCAATTTCCTGAGGTATTTATATAAATTAGCTCGTGTCAATATTTTGATTATATTCTTTAACAACTGTTATCTAACCATATTTATCTTATTTAAGGAGCAATATGCACAAAATCCTCATAAAAGAAAAGCTTTAGATCAGCAATCAATTTTTCTAAAACCTTCAGAGTCACCTGTATTTGTGCCTTCATATGACTCTGACACTGAGTTAGACAAGGCTATAAAACGTGCTAAATTGGAACAACTCGAGTTACAAAAAATTCTCTTAAAAGTTTGTTGATTGTTTAGTGTTGGTCAAAATTTTTGTTTAATTTTAGGAACAAATAGAGGAAAAACGTTTACAAAATCAACTTTTGCAGATTGAACTTAAGACGAAGAGAGGAAAGTAAAAAAAGATTGTCTGTGTAATTGATCATTCCGTTAATTTAAATCAAATCTTACTTAACTACAAACTTTGTTATGTATAAGGACTTTGTTATAAAAATACTTAAATAAAAATTATAAAATATATTTATCTCCATGGCAACTCTTAATATGTAAAATCTAAGCACATTTTAAACTAAAATTAATCATGACTTCAAATCTTATTATATTTAATCAAACAAAGGACGAAGAGTTTAACATTTATAACCATTTTCGGCAATTACATAGACACATACGGAGCGGATGGGAAGTTGAAATGTAATAATTAATGAGATAAGGACTTGATATTGAATAGGATAGGGGCTTACATATTTTATGCCAAAAATATTCACAAATTCTATTTAGACATCAGAACGATGAGATAACTGAAGGTATTCTTGGGAAATGTCGAATTTTTGTTCTTCCTTGCCCTAGAGTAAAATTTACTGATGAAGAAGTAAGTTTTGTATATCCTTAAAATTGAACATTCATGGTTAATAAATCACTAGTTCTCAGCCTTACGAAAGTTCGTAAAATCTGGTGGATCTCTTCTAGTTTTATCTAGTGAAGGAGGTGAAGAAAAAAATAGTACAAATGTGAACTTTCTACTTGAGGAGTTTGGAATCTCATTCAATAACGGTAATTAATTGTCATTTAAATCCTGGTCATATCCCTAATCTTATAAAGTAAACTTATTAAACAGATTCCGTTATCCGCACAATTTTCCATAAGTACTTCGATCCAAAAGAGGCTTTAATTTCAAACGGTGTGCTTAATAGGTCGCTCCCTATCGGAGCCGGTGTTTTACAGACACAAAGCTTATCAAATACAAATATCGAATGGCAAAATGCAGTTGGCGGTTTTTCAAAATTACAGGGTGACAATGAAGATGAAAACAATTTTAGGTTAATTTTTAAAATAAAATTTTAACTTTAAAATTTAAGCGCTTCACTGAATTTTGTTTTTCCATATGGCTGTACCCTAAGCGTGAATCGTGAGTCTGTCAGTGTTCTCTCAACGGGAACTGTTTGTTATCCAGTTTTGAGGCCCGTCTGTGCTTTCCATCAATTAAAAACGGTATCAGACTTTTTAGATAAATCTATTTTAATTCTTCAGCAAATTAAATTTGTCCTTTATCTTTAACTATAAAATTTTCCTTAATTTTATTTTCTTTTTAAAAGGAAAATGGCATTGGCCGACTTGCTGTTTGTGGTATGCTTTTTCTTCTGAACAAAATCGATATTTTTACATTTGAGGATCTGTACGAATGTTTGTGGACGAATATTTCAATAAAGAGGATAATTCAAAAATATTTGTATATTTTTTTGATTTTATTATATCATTTTTACGTCTAGGACGTGATTCTAAAATTTCTGTCTGGTTCCTTGGAATTAAATCAAATCGATGCGAATGAACCTAATATCTTCGATGAGCAGCCAATTCCTGATAATATGCAACTTTCATGTAATAATTTCAAAATTAGAAATATTATAAATCTAATGGATTAGGATCGGACTAGTCCAAGTCTATCCCTGTTTTATAATTCTTCCAGTTATTGTTTAAGTTATGACTAAGTCCAGTCTATAAATTCTCTGAAAATTAAGGCCATCAATTCTTGAGAGATCTTCTATATTTGATATAAAACTAAGCAAACTAAGCAATGAATATTATACATTTAGAATCAAAAAGAAATATTTTAATCTTAAGGCAAGCTTAAATTATGTTTGCATGAAAGCGAATTTGATCATGCATACTTCGGTGATTTCATTAAACTTTTTGATCAATCACTTACTTCGGTCGGTCTGGATCATTGGCCAGAAGCTAAAAGGTTTATAATAATATATTCTTTTTTTATTCGCTACATGGAACCATAGATTAGAGGGTACTTATCCTTTATACGTCTGAAATTCAGTGCCACATTTGACCGGCTATAACTTTTTTGTGCTTGATTAAATTTAAATGAAGCTAATATCATTCGAAAGCCCACGAAAACCGGTATTTTTCAAATCTAATATATCAAGTCTGTTCACCAGTTAAACAGTTAAATCCCTATAAGTCCGTATTGGTGTTTTTCGCATCTATCGGGTTATAACTTTTTAACTATTGATCAGACCTGATCCACCAAGTTGGAAAAAAGATACTGCTTATCAATTGCTTTAGAATGATGTAAAATTCATCTAAATTCATCAAGAGCAGAAAGGCTAGCCGATCAAAATCGCTGGCACTCAATTTGAAAAAATATAAGTACCAACTAAAGTATGTATCTATACTTAACAGGATTTATGAGAAAATTGGCTTGAGGTACGAGCCACTGACTTTAGTGACACCAACTTTCCAAGTAAGAATTAATCTGTGATCTTAATATGCTAACTTTAAAGGTCCCAATGCCTCCATATCAGCCAGCGGTAATTTTTGTTGAATTTTATAAAAGCCTATAAATTATTGAGGTTTTCCCTCCACAATTCCGTGAACTTCCGCAGCCGCAGCTCGAACTTTTTGAACTTGATGATGCATTCTGTAATATTTAATGAATTGATAAAACCCTAAGGAAAATTATAAATCTTGGAATTGATTTAAATTAATGAATATAATTTTACAGCTACGCACGAAGTTCAACTTGCGCAACTTACAAATCGATGTTAGTTATTTAATTTTTACCTAAATGTTCAGTTGGAGAAATGAATATTTTTCTCGTTAGAATTCAAAGTTTAAGATCTTAATCGTTTAGGCGCTGAAAATGAACTAGATATGTATATCCGTGAGGCAAGCGAGATACTTGGGATAAATAAGATATTATCAGAAACTCTAACTGGAAACGATAGGAAAATAACTTCTAAACGTGTACTTGACTATGTAACAAGAAACCTGATTGAATGGAAAAAATCAACCGCAGGAATGGTTTGCAACCTTTACAATAAACAATTACATTAATGTTTTATAGGAGGAAGGGGATGATTTGCCGCATACATATTTGCCAGCGCCTGATGAAAGTGTAGAGATTGATGCCGATTGGACAAGACAACAGAATAATTTAGATATCATGGACGACGGAGAAGAAAACTTTGATCATGCTTTTTCAGAAATTTATAATGATTAAGTCTATGTACTCCTAAAATTTTGTTTATAGCTACCACTCGAGAAAATTTGCAAACCAATTTAATTATGGAAATAAAAATCTTTATTAATTATTAATTTGTTAAACTAATTATTAATTTATTACTAGTTTAGTAAAGTTTTTAAGCAACTACTTTAATTTTACAAATTATCTATATAAATAAAGAAAATTTACAAAGTTATCAATTAATAGGAAAGAAAAGCTTGAAAGATAAATTGAGTTGCTTTTTTAGTTACATAGGTGTTAATGTTGTTAATTTAAAATATTTTATCTATTATTTTATGATTATTAATTGCAGTTTAAAGTCATTAAAAGCAACTAATTAGGATTTAGATTATGCCAAAATCAAAGAAGATGCTTATTACTAAGAATCTTTAATTTAAATAATGAAAATGAAAGATGGCGCACCATTGTATTAACGCCTCCAAAATTATTCTTTTTAAATTCAAATTAGTCTCCTCATTTATGCCATTATTCCGTTGTTAAAATGGCCGGGTGCGCGACCGTAATGTGGGGCATGTGCATTGTACGGACCATGCATGTTTGCAGGTGCAGTATGGCGATATTGATCTCCATAATCTAAAGATTATATTATTAGAAGTTAAAACATGAGATTGAATATAGTAAAGCAGCTGGGCTATAGCTATTCCTCCCCTTTAGCTAGTGCACAATGTTATTCTGCGGCTGGAAGCGAACCAGCATCTTCAGTAGATGGACTGATGTGTTATCCATTACATCACTCCGCCTAATACATATTCTAATATGAACAGAAAGATTTATTATTTCCAGATTTACGTTAGTGTATCTTTTAGTAAGATTATGTTCAATAAAAATTTTATTAAGTGTCCAACCTTGATATCCTTCCGCGTCTTCGGTTGAGTTCTGTGACTCAAATTCAGGACGCTGCGGTGCATATGGTGGAGAAGAGTAAGGATCAGGGGAATATGGAGGAGAATAAAAGTCATCATCGGAATCATAATGCGAAGGAGGAGAGCTGCGTGAATGCATTGAGGGCGAATTGGGGACATCCATATCTTGATGTTGTTGAAAGTCAATCGGATTTTGATAAGAGTTCGATTGAGAATGTGGGTAATTGTCTGCTGTAATAATGAGAAATAATATCCCAAAGGATCCCGTTTTGGGATATTATTTTTTATTTGTACTAAGAATCATTTAAAATTACTTGCACAAACAAATAAACATGGACATGCTAAATTTTTGTGAAATAATTGTGAGATCCAGGCTTTTATTTACTCAAGATGCCCCTGCGCTTTCATAACCAGTCAATATATTTATGAAACCTACCAGTTTTTCCTTTCATGAAGGAATGTGATTGGGTTTCTTCTTGTGGATAAGCTGGGGAATTGTTCGACATCTTATTGTTTTTGCCAAAATCTTGAGGATAAGCCAATTGATTATTCGTTAATTGATTGTTTACACCAAAATCTTCCTCCATAAGTGGATGTTCGCCACGCCCAGAATACTTATATCGAAGTTCAAACTGAGATTTTTGCGGCTGATCGGACTGATCCACATACTTGACACGAAGCTGAATCTAAAAAAATCATAAATTGAAGCAGACGTTGAAAATATGTTGCGCTTAATTAATTCAAACCCTCCCATAATAACTACCTCAGGATTTGCCTCTACTTTCGATTCCAAAGTAGTCCAGTCGGATTTATCAACAACTTTGTTAAATTTCATAACATAATCTGCTTTGGATTCACCGCAATCCTAAAAAGTAGAAAATAAAATTCTATTTATATTTAAAAATAGAACAATGTGAAGTTGAAATCCTTCAGCAATCGTCTTGCGCAATTTGACTTGTGCTATTAGTACCCCATCAGACTGATGTTCTATTTTTGTGCTGTCAATGCTTAAAATCTCCTCTTAAAATTTTATTATGAAGTTAATAAAATTATCTTTAAGATTGAACATACCATCATCCTCATCCCTAATTTTTAGCCACTTGTTCCAATTCATCGGGGCGCTTGAGAACGGTTTATCGCATGCATTGCCATTCATATTATTTTTTATTTTGAATTCAAGCGAATATTCACGTTGGTGCAGAGGAAATGGTCCGTACTTCATTTTTTCCTTATCCGCCCAAAGATAAAGAATCCTTGAAGGTTTTTTTTCAGTATGTGCATGATTAACAGCTTTCTCGAAATTATCGTGACTGTCACGTAAATAGTCCGCGATTTTAAATGTATAGACACGTCGTTCTTTTATGCGGAATGATTCTTTGTTGTATGCCTTGAATAAGTTTTTTGTGCGAATTAAACTTTAAAAATCAAACCACGGCTATGCGGATGCTACCGTAATTTTGTTCATTTTTTCGTAGTGGATCCAGTCCGTAACCGTTTTTGATGGTGATTCGGAAATTTCCGGTTACTTTGTCATAATAAAATTCATATGGCATATTACCAAAAGAATGATCTGAAGTATAAAGGTTAATTTAGTACTAATAACAAATTTTAAACAGTAAGCCACCATGATCAATATCATATTCAACATGTGCACATCCCTCGTTTGCAACCAATGGCACAGGACTTGGATTAACCTTATCAGGACCTCGCCAAAAGATTATTCCGTGAATGTGATAAACTAAATATAGATATGACAACTAAACCAAAAATAAAGTTCATACTGTAGGTATAAGGTTTGAAATTGTGGTAAGATAAATGAAGAATGTTACGATGATCAAATTCCTCAAAATTGGGATCGTGCTTCTGATGCAAATCTTTTTGTGCACTATGATCTAAAATAATTAAATTTGATGATTTCAATGAGTAGACAAAAAATCTACTTTGATCTTTTGCAACATTGAGGTTTTCAATATCCTCAATATAACTGATTCGTTTAGATTCCTCATTTAACGCCTAAAATTAAACGACTAATATCAAAAATAATCAGTCATAAACATACGTATGATATTTCAACCTTGCCTTTAATTTCAGGATTTCTAAATGTGATATTGGTAATACCATTTCCAACATGCAAATCGTAGTGACAATGTTCTGTTGGTATTCCATTTTCGGGTGGATCTTCAGAACAGTCAATCAATGGCGTTACTTAAGGAAAGATAAATATATTTTTGTGAACTAATTATTATTACATTCTGTTCTCGGTAGATGTTCAGCATTTGAGACTAAGCCTTCACCCTTTTCCATGTGTCGCAACATGATGTGGGGATCATCAATTATTTCATTATTTGCGCCCCAGATCACAAGCATTATCTTTGGATTTTCAACAATTTTCCGTTTTTTGTTTGTCTTCCGAACAAAACTGTGGGGTCCATCCAGTTGCGCAGGATTTTCCAACTCACTGCGAGGACGTTTGTTACCAATCATTTGGTGGTCCGCTTCAGCGTGAGTATGCTTGTTAGCAAACATATGTTGGTTTTGATGCGCTAGTGGCGGCATATCAGGGTTCATATAATGATGACGACCATAGGCAATTGAAATAGAATTCCAAACGAATATTAATCCAGTGATGCGAAGGTACCTGCCCATCGGTAGCATCGCTAAAAATAAAGTTTTTGAAAATAAAATTCCTTTAATATTAGAATGGAGGGAAATTTTTTTTAATTCTGAGCTCCCTTTTACTTATTAATTCGACGAATAATAATTAAAGGATTAACAGCTTTTGACCAGACTGAGAGTTGAATACGTTATTTTATTTGGCCAACCCAGTCAGTCGGTGTCGTAAATAACCCTTTGTGATTTTTTTTAGATTCCAATCGCAAGTCAATTAACGGACGCAGCCATGTAAAAATACAGACGCACTTTTGTCGGCTATGTCCTTTTTAAGTGAAATAAATTTTTTAACTGTCTATCCTCTCAAGAATGCCTTGATTCTCGCTCATAAAATAGACGGGGCGGCAAATATTTTTGAAATATCCTGTGGAAAATCACATGTTGCAATGTCCGCCTAATTCATTTAACAGTCATGACTGCCGCCGCCGATTGCGACGGCATTAATGCTTTAATAATAAATATTTCATAATAATTAAATTGATTGGATTTCGAAGTGTCTTTCATTATAGACGCTCTTTATAAAGTGCATATTGCAAATCATATTATCCGACTATCTCTCCGCGGAAACTTCCTTACGCAACTGCAGTTTTTAGTAGTAGTATGTGAAATCTCTTAAGAGAAGTCTATCGAGGATTACATAAGATAGTTAAATGGTAAAAATACAAATAGAGTTTTATATTGGAATAATTACTATCAAAAAATCGGCATAAATGTGTATCCTGGAGTAGGAATAAGACAACGATTAAAAATTCGATTTAAAAATTGCAATTCAAATTAATATATTTTAAATTTTATGAAATTAAATTGACATGATTTGATAATCCAGAAATGATCTTAAAACTATTTTTATTTGGCTATGCCTTTTTGAAACTGCGCTTCAGGAAAGAGTAATGCCGAGTCAATTACACCACTTCCTTCGCATATACCTCCTTGGTTTGAATTATGTGACTGAAATAAGAGTAGTTTATTTACTTGATTCTAATGGTATATATACTTTTGTTTTAATAAAATGCCCATCTACATGGTTAAAGAGAACTTTTCCATCATATGTGCCCAGGAATGTTCCAAAGACGCCTAGCTCATTTGTGACAACTTCCAATTTAGCAGGATGAAATGGCCTCTTCAAGTAGTTCTGCAAATTTCAAATATAATTTTTGGAGCCTATTTAGTGATTTAATATATGTACATATTCAAATAATTTTTATAATTTTGTTAAAGTTTCCCTGCCTTAACAGCAATTGGGCGAATTTTCTGCTGCAAAATGAACGCACTCCTGTCTTGCACTGACATAGTTTGTAGCATTTCAGCAAGTTTCTCATCGAAAAAATTTCCCACGCCGTCGTCACGTAGTGCTTTAAGTACGTAGTTTTGAGGACTGTTAATTGCATCAGTGACAAGTGCTTGAGTAAACGAATCATTTTCTTCAAGGCTCCATATTCCGGTGAATGTACTCTATAATTATTAAGTATGTAAATTATTCGACTTAAACTACTCTAAGTTCAGCAATCTTTTTAGGCCTATCTGCCAAGAACCGTTCAAGCATGCCTGGCTTTGCAAGTAACTGCTGAACTTTTTTTGTTCCGCTCAGCTGGCTTCTAATGTTCGGGGAAATTATGGCAGTTGAGCGTTCCATGTTCAATTGACAATTCCATTCTTTCTCCTTTAAATTATTAAATAAATTTACTATCTTGATCATACAATTAATTTTAAATTATTACACTAGTATAATGCTCAGGTAAGTAGCCGTATACCATGTAGACCACTGCAACTCGTTTATTCTCTCCGACCATTAAAGAGTAATCAGACTCATTAAGATGCATTCTATAAAATTTTAATCAGATGATTCACTTGATTTTTAATTATTCACCTTTCGGCACATTCTTCAAGTGTCATTTTCGATATATTTAAAATAGATCCGGCATTTCTTGCTATTTTTTCTAATTCGAATTGTACGAATTGCAACTGTTCATGATGCTGGATCGGGTATAAATTCTGAAGATTTAACATACATACTTTTAAACATGTAAGTGTAAGAAAGATAATACCGAATCAAACACCAGTACAACAATTGCTTTAGCATCACCAAATACTTTCCATGCTTGGAAAAGAGCCTCAGCGATTTTTTTCGCTTTTGGGAGTGCCGCTTCGCTCATTGAGTTTGGTGTACAACCATGTAAGTTCTCAACCTTCTCGATCATTTTCTTATGTAATTTTGCCACTTTGGGAGCAAATCCTACTCCACCGGGTCCAAAGTTTACTTCGATCTAGAATTTTCATTCAAATTAAGCTATATTCAAGCATAATTTGGTATAAAGAACGGAGATAGTACATATGTAAAATTACCTGCTTTAACTCTATCTTTTGACCATCCTCACAATGCGTCATATAGTCAGCTCGCTGAACTTGAAGCACAAATTTCTGTCGTATACCTTCAGCATGAACCAGCTTCATCATCTCTACCTGTCGCCCAACCCATTTGTCGGCTTTAACAACTTCACGATATGCTTCAATTAAGAAGTCATAATCCAATGATATACGATAATAAAGCTCGTTTAGAGTGGACTGAACAGATGTGGCCTTTTGAAAGAGTTCCATGGGAAATGGCGATGGAAGCAAGGTCATTGGCGGTACAACAGAAATGTCTATAAACTTTTTTTGCTCGGACCACAGTCCAACGAAGCCTAGAAGGAAAACATTAAAAAATTTTATATATGCCTTGTTCTGTTAAGTCAAAATTTTTGAAAATCTACTTACCTATAGATTGGGCATAATTAATAGAATATCTGCAAAAAGATACAAAAATATAATATATCTTGATAAAAAATATAATTTACTCAGTCAATTCTTTGAGAATATCCTCGTTTTCAATTACTTCAACAACGTAATTATTAGCAATACTTTTGATGCAATGATTATTTACATGTTTGTTGAAAATATGATTGTTATTACTGTAAGTTTTGCCATTTTGCAATTCAGATATTATTAAGTTTTCCATTGTTTATTAAATAAATATGCTGAATAAATACATATTAGTAAATAACAACGATCATTGGCAAATTTAAAAAAAGAGTACAATTATTGGACAATTAAATGGTCGCAAGCGCTAGTCCGTCGATCATCTACACAATACTCATGCAAAAGCACAATCTTTATTTTATGGCCGCTTATTTACGCAAACTAAAGTAATAGATAAATATTTTCGTAGTGTTTACTACTATTATCAACCTCTTATCATTTTTATTATAATGCACAAATAAAATAATGGCCCACTTAGCGTTGTAGGGAAACTACTATAAAATATGATATGTATTTATTATTTTTTTCAGTGATTCATTTTTTTCAGCGACAAGAAAGGGAAATCCCTGACATTTTTTATTGTTTGAACAAATTGAAGTACGTAAACATATTTATTTGTCTACCAATTATTAGATAAATCCATAAAAGTGTTTGGGTTTAAAAATTTATCATTAATTGAAAAATAGAAAAAAATTAAAAATTTTGTTCATTGAAATAGTCAATGAACTATGTATTTACTAACATATCAAGGTTCAGAATTCCTCATTCAATCCACATTTCTTCAAGTCCACAAAAATTCTGAAGAGTATCTTGTTTAAATCATTTGGAATTTCGTTCTCACGATACAAATTAAGTTGATCCATAACTTGAGACTTATTATCTTCCGTCAGCTTGCCCATTGCTTTATTTATGTTAAACCACTTTTCTAATCGTTCCCAATAAATAAGGAGTTTAGCCATATTTACTTCAACCTCAAAAATTGTTTATTTTCAAATTAAATGATAGTATTTATAATAAATTACTTGTTTTTCTATCATCTTGATAAAGTTATTTGATTCAACCGCCTCCTTTCTTTCCAGCTCCTTCAGATTAAACCATTCAGTTGGCCATTCAGGATCATTAATAAATTCAAAATTAATAGTTAATCGTGTTAAATACTCAGGAATTAATTTTTCACGAAAATACCATACTGTGGCAATCTCGGCTTTTGTCCATTTTATCTTGATCTGTCTGGATTCTATATCACATTGCCCTCTAACCATCCAAAAATTATGGAGTCTTCGTATAAATTTAAAAAATTCATAGAAAATTTTATTAGACGAAAGAAGTAAATTAATCTTCATATAATTCTGAGCGATTATGACTAACTAAAATCTATTTAAATTCGTCTAGAATCCAAAAATTAGTCTAAACCTGTTCATTACTTGTAAACTCTTCCGGTTCTATTTCATTACATATCAAACGATCAATTGTATTAATTAGATCAGCTAATACTTTTATCGCCTTCTCTTGAGCAAAATTAAAAATGCCAGAAGTCATCACATTCTTTATTATAAGATTTACTCCGGCTAGATTGACATCTTTAAGGGGCAATTTTTGTAGCAATATATCATCCAAATTAATTACGATTGAATTTAAAATAAAATTTTGAAACTCGTCTGGCAGATCCTGCATTGATTGATATTTCTTTATTATTTTTAATATTTCATATTTTTTCCTTAGAAAAACATCAGTCACTATTCCATATCTTTTGCATAAATCAGAGAATTCCTTCAACATATCTTCCAAAATAGATTGCAGGATTTGAGAATCCCTTTCGAAACAATCAGAAAGGAGGTAAAATTCACCAATTGATCTTTTACTTATAATAGCTAGATCAATTTCCTGTACAAATCTGTTTATCTCGAAACGGATTTTGATCAATTCTTTTATTGTTGCTTTGATTGATTCTTGATAATCTATGGAATTTAGAGATTTTTCAAATGATTTTAATTTTTCATAATCATCGCCACTCAATAAAAAATCTTTTAAATAATACAGGAGATGAATATTTGGATATTTCTGTTGGATTTTATTTTTTAAGACTTCCAACTTTTTAAGCAAGTTCGAAATATCAAGCGCATATTCTTTTATTACATTGTTAAAAACTAAGGAATAGTTAGCATCTGAGTAACGCTTTTCCTTTTCTAAACGTTTCATTCTTGATTCAAGTAACTCGATTTTTCTTAAGATATCATCGTAAACTTGATTTTCCACAGCCGAAATTTCTGCCGTATCTTTAGAAACAATTTTTTCATAATTTATAGGTGCGGAAGTAAGTTTTGAAGTTTTAATGATAAGAAAGAAAGATAAAATTTTGAGGAATATTAATGATAATAGAAGAAAAGAAGATATGGAAGTAAACATTTAAAACGTAGCTAAGCAGAATAAAATTTTATTGTTTTAATTCACATAAAAATTTATAAAAGGTTAAATGTTTTGGTTGTTGTGAAATGATAGAGTTGCACTTTCCTTATCTCTATTATTATTTAATTGACAATGATTTGTTAATAAAATATGTAATTAAAGATAGCTAAAATATTAAAACGAAAATGTTTTTAAAAAATAAGGACCACCCGGGTTTAAATATCTGTTATGAGTAAATTGATAGTAAATGGGTAAATTGGCGGTAAATTGACAGTCGAAGTTTTAGAAGGCACCGTATTGAAATCGGAGCAGTTCAGTTCCGGCTCATTTCAGTACCGACACAATAACTCATGAAGGAATGGGCACTTCATGTTCTTGATATCATTAATAATAAGTCATAGATGCCATGACTAAACAGAGGTTTACAGATTTGAAATAGATACTCGATACAAATTAGCTATTCCATAAACATCAAGACGGTTTTTGGTATAGTTTGACATATAGCATCTCTTCCATGTAAAATAAATACTTCAATATAAGTGCCAAGAGTCTTTGATATAAACTTTAGTTTGTGTGCCTTAGCTACAAGTTGCATTACAGGTACATATCTCTTAATTGCATTGGCACCATATTTTGTTTGCAATATTGTAAAAAGTAGTTTGGAATAGTGTACAGAATTATTATATATTATGTCACGCGATTTTGCCGACAGCCCATCTACCGCTAAATTTAAAATAAGATTAGAATTTAAAGCTAAAATTGAACTAAAATTGAAAGCTCAAAGCTCTATTTTTAGGTTTGGACCATGGGATATTAACTAAAAATAATGGAAAATGGAATCCATAGGGATTCTAAATCAAACAATATTTGAGATAGTGAAATAAAAGCGTGAGTAGGATATGATCAAAGCATTTAAAGTCATACTTGAGCTTGAGATAAGAATAGCAAGCAATAAGAGAAATTCTTCTGGGGCAAGATCTAAATCTGCAAAAGCTTGAACAGATTGAAAAACCAATTGTTGACGAAACCTTTGAATTCTGTAAAAAATAAGATAATTAATGAAGAAACGTATCCAGGAAAAGTTTATCATATAATTTTTTAATTTTTGGAAAATGTTTTCAGCTAAGCTGAATAACACTCAAATCTGCTTTGGGACCGAGATAGAAAATCTTAAAGTATGGGGTCAAGGTAAATTACTGGCGCCAAAAATTTAACCATACAAGGATTTGCTTGGTCCGATCTCTAATATAGAATGTCTAATAATTAACATACTTTTCATCATTAATTAAAGATTTAGTTGTTAACATCGTTCCCAACGTTAACCCCTCCGAAGTTGTCCACTGATCTGCATTCATGCAGCTAGCGTAATAACTATTGAAAAACATAAAGATTGGCTCAATTAAATCTTTTATTATTAATGCCTGAAATTTTATTTTCTGATATTATTATTGCAAAATTTAAAAACCTGGTCGTCAATATCGAGTTTATTGAAACTTAGCACCACTTTAGCAAATTCCATAGCCAGAAAATGGTCTTTGGTAATAATTTTTATATGTTTTGGAGAAGAGAACCCAAACACTTCTACTTCAGCACGAAACCTTTCCGAATTCCAAAACGATGGCATATTATCCTGAAGTGATACATAAGTATGTGGTTAAATCATAGTATAATTAATTGTGAAAATTTGCTTAAATATTAATAAGATACCGAAAATTCGTCGGCTTTTGCTAAAATATGATTGGGATCTTCTAGATAGTTTTGAATATTTGATGATGAATTTAAACTAGCAAAGTCAAATGGAGTGTTAGATGCCCATATTCTATAATGGCATTTTCCGAGAAAGTGAAGTGTATTCATTAATCCACTATCAGAAGCACCTTCCGAGGTTAAATTGCTCTAAAGTTAGTAAAAATAACGTATAAATTAATTTAAAGTATCTAAAAATACTGGGCGCAGTGGACTTTATGCGCACATGCGGATTTTATATCTAATTGTAAGTTCAACTTCCTCACCTGAATCGCAACATCCGGACATTTATTGTGAAGATCGGGTTCGGGGATTATATCATCAGAGCTAGGCTGAATAACTAAGTTTAATTTAATTTTATATCGAATTATACCGTTGATTGACAGACGCCGTGCATGTTCAACAACTTAGTACGACGATTTTCTAGCGTTTCAATAAATAAATCGAGCGATTGGGTGCTTTCAGCATTAATTAGTAAAGGATCCATGCCAACTAAAAGGCATCTATCAAGCCGGCATCCTCTGCAGCGATTAGCTTAAAACATACTAAGGCATTATATTAAACAATGTAAATAAACCTTTGGTTATATCACATTGTTTATCTTTCCAGCAATGGAAAATTTTTTGTTTTACGACTGATCTACGGAAGAACTGCTTACATCCTTAACATAAATTTAATACTTAAATTTTTAGCAAAAAGAAACCTTCACAACTCTGTACGCCATAATAATGATATGAGCACGCAGTATCACAAACCATGCATTTTTTAGTGGGTTTAATAGAGCTAGTAGTTGGACCGTGTTGTTGTTCGGATTTCGCAGAACAATTATTTTTTTCCATTGAATCTGTATTGGAAACTTAAATTTATTTATATTTGATGGGCCTCAACGTGTAAAATAAACGTAAAAAATATTTATTGAATGAATAATTTATGTATTTCAGAGTTTGGGAAAAATTTTGTTTTATTTCACCAAGAATGTAAAATTATTATAAAATTTTCAGATTTATAAGCTAACAAATTAAGCTAAACAAATAAATTAAATTAAAATTTTAAATAAATAGCTTTGCAATAAAAGGCAGCATTTAAAGCTAATGGAATCAATAAGTCGTTTGAGGCCATGTTTGAGGAAATAAGGTGTTCGAGGTAAGGCTATGTTTGAGGGAGAAGGCTTATAGTTATGTAGCATAAAAATTAATACATTCGATAATAGCATTCGGTGTATTAATATTTAATACGTACATAATTTATGCAAATTATTAGCCTATTTCAAATAATTTGTCCTTTTTAAAAAATGTAGTTTAAACAATTTTAAAACTGTTTAAACTACATACATATCTTTGTCAATTTTAATTGTTGGAACATTTTAAGAATCTATATCAAAAAATTTATCTATCTTATCCTCGATTTATTGAGATACAGTCAAATAGAGCACCTCTTCCCGATTAATTACCCCCTCCAGCGATAGGTGTAAACAATAATTACACAGGGTAATTATTTGAGGATATAAAACAATATCAACATTTTGGGGTGAAAATAAGCAAATGGACTAAGAAAAGTAATTTAAAACAATTACATAATTATTTAAAGATAATATTTTTGATTGTTATCTACATGAGCAGTAAAATATTAATATCTATTAAATCCTTGATTAAGTTCCCAGTCAGTAACTTGTTTTGAAAATTCATTAATTTCAACATAAGCAGCGTTTACATAATGTCGAATCAACTTTTCCCCTTAATTTAAATCAAATTGTAATCTGATAATTTTTGAATTACCAAATGTTTTATTCAGCATTTTCGATTCTTTTAGAAGTTGTGTAGCTTTTTGTAAGGAATTAGGAAATTCAGGTAATTCCTTATCATTGTAAACATTGCCAGATGCAGGAGGGGGAAGTTCAAGCTCTAAAATTTAAAGAAACTGAAATTAATTTCCATGCAAACGCCTAACACTCACTTTCTTCTATACCGCTAATTCCTGCAGCTATGATTGCGGAAAAAGCTAAATAAGGGTTTAAATCGGCGCCTCCGATACGCAGTTCAACATTAATTCCCTCAGATTTTGAATTACAAAGTCGAAAGGCGCTTGTTCGGTTGTCAATTGCCCAACAACATTTTGTTGGTGCAAAACTAAAAAATTAATTGTATCGATAAATTATTTTTATCAGAATACGTGAATTATTACGTAAGCGGTTGAAGTCTTTTGTAGGAGTTGATGTAAGGAGCAAAGAAATAAGTCGCTTCAGGCACGTATTTCAATAATCCAGAATCCAATTACGGGCTAATGTTGACATTCCATATTCATCATTTTGATCATAAAATGCATTTTTTCCTGTTTCAGAATCTTGAAGTGACACTAGGAATTGATATTTAGTAAATCAAATTAGAATTTAATGATTTATCACTATGAATATGGCAAGCATTACCAAGCGCAGTTGAACTTAATTTAGCCATAAAGGATGCAATCATTCCAGACTGTTCCGCCATATTGCGAATTCCATGTTTTGCAATAATATGACGATCAGCCATTGTTAGAGGATCTGCTGGTACAAAATTAAGTTCATGCTGACTAGGTAAAAATTCGGGATGTGTTGCTTCCATCAAAATACCTAATTCAAAATATTAGAGTATTTTGTGTGATCCTACCGGCTTGTTCTAATCTATTACGCACTGAACGCATGAAAGTTTCGATCCCACTACTTGCACTAATATTCATCCATTGGTGATGCGGCTGCGCGGTTTTTAAATTTTTCCAATGCTTTTGGCTGGCACTTTCATATGTTTCATTGAAAAGATTGAATTCTAGTTCAGAAGCAAAAAGGCCTTTAAGCTTTAGATTAGCCAGGCGCTCAATTTGCTGCATGAGTATTACTCGAGGTGAACAGAACAACGGCTCGGAAGTAACGAAATTCTTTAAAGTTAGAGTTAATATAAGCTTTGAAATTTATTTGCCTACATGAGGATTGGAAATTGCCAATACAGCGCCTTCTGACCATGGGAGCAAATGAAGGGATTTCAAATCTGCACAGAGATGGCAGTCACTATAACCTGTGTCTACACTTGAAATCTCATAACCTCCGCCAGCGATGCCTGAAAACAAGATAAAGATTGAGTAAATTATTATTCACTTGATCTCTGTAATTACAATCTGTTATTGTTAGAGCTAAAGCCTAATTTTAATTCTTGATAATATTGTTTACCTTCTATGGTTACCGCATATACAAATGTGCTAATGCTAATCTTCTTTTGATTCAATCCTAAAAAATGCCGGCCAGTTAACCTCTTGCCCATCAGTCGGCCTTGCATGTCGATGCATGCTGAATGAGAGGATTAATCAATTTAATTACAGTCAAATCCCGATAGACCCATAATAATTTATCTGGCTGTACTTTAGCCGGTGGCCCACTCAGAAACGGGTCAAATTATATACCATTCGATTCGTCTCGGTGAGTTGAGTCGAAAGGTACCACTCTTTTTTTGCGGAAATTCCTACGAGCCGAGATATAGGTCCTTAAAAACCGAAAAACCATAGGGGGGACCAAGCACTTTTTTGGGGTGAAAAATTCGAATATGCAAATAATAGCTCATTCGAAAGAGCTCATCGAGCTGAGTCGAATGACACCAAAATCAACAAAATCCGACTTCATTTGACAAAGTTATGAGCATTTGTTTTAGCTCCTTACCTTTGGTCTACGTGCAGGGTTTTCTTGTTGGGGAGGAAACCAGATATGCCGACCTCAGCTAAAATAGGCATAAGTTTATGTTACGAGCCCAGACGCAGCGCCCGTAGACTCCCCGCGAGGCGCGTGCCGCAAAACCCCGCGCGAAGCGCGGGGTTTTGCACAAGCGCCTCGCCGACGCTCCATAGGTTTATGTTGCTTGTATTTTGTGTTGTAACTTTGTCTAAATTTGTTCAATCACTGTGATCTTGGTGTCATTCGACTCATCTCGTGGAGCTCTTTCGAAAGAGCTATAATATGGTTAAAAAATTTTTAATTCCAATAATCGCCCCTTTGGATCTTCGGTTTTTAGGGGTCTATATCTCGGTCCAATCAAGCCGGATTTCGTTGATTTTGGTGTCATTCGACTCAGTTCGAGGAGCTCTTTCGAATGAGCTATCATTCGAAAAATCGAATTTTTCACCCCAAAATTGAGCTTACTCCCCCCTATGGTTTTTCGATTTTCAGGTACCTATATCTCGGCTTGTAGGCGTTTCCGCAAAAAAAGAATGGTACCATTCGACTCAGCTCGCCGAGACGAATCGAATGGTATATATATCGAGGGGTTTCTGAGTGGGCCACCGGCTAAAGTATATCCATTTATCTCAACAAAATCATAAAGCATCTTTAAAAACATACCCACAACAACCGTGTCTATTTTTTCATTTTTAATCAAATTATTTAGTTCATCATAAGTGATGGTCATTTGAAATTTTATAATACGAAGCTTTATTATACACAGACGGTTTTAAAAAATAATGATTTAAAACTAAATGACCAGAGACGTAAAATAATAAATACATATGAAAATAATTTTCTAAATTTAAGGAGGCAACTAATACTTATTATTCGCTAGACAACATTGAGAAGGAACCCTTATCAATCAAAATTTATAATAGACACGAAAAACATTCGCGGCAAATTTGGCGCCCCTTGTTCAATAATGGATGGAAGATAACTTTAATATGAAATTTTAAAATTTATTGTTAAAAATGATAAGAATAAACTACATTTAACACATGTTTCGTAAAGTTCTGACTAGTTTATTATAGTTTATCAACACATGAAGTCATGTTTGTTCTGAACACAATCAAGTATAACCCATGAATACAATGATTGAATTTTTAAACGCAGTAAATATAGCTTTCTGATCATCTGGAAGTGTATTTATCATTTCATCCGCTTTCTTACATTTAAGCGACAATTTTTCTTTTCGTCGGAATATTTGTTTGAAACATTCTTTCAATTCCTATTTATAATAATTTAAAAAAATCTTTAATTGAAAAATAGGCTTGCTTAATAAGGTCTACCTTAGGTATCTTGTTAAATTCTGGGGGATCAGGAATCATATCAATCACTTTGTCAGGCAATCCATCAATTAATGCATTAATTTGTTCTTGCTTTTGTGATGGCAAAAGTGCAGAATCTGATTTTATCATTTTTATCTTGCTTAAAGTTTCGGCAGGCAATGCATTCCAGCCCTCCAATTGATTTGAGAGTTGCTTGATTTTAATGCTAATTTTATTTAAAAGGAAATAAATTATTACCTCATTTTCAGAAGGCATTATATCCCTTGTCCTGTTTTAGCTCAGTTAATATAAAATTTTGAAATGAGATAAGAGTAAGAATATGAACAATAATTTCGTTTAGGTTAGTATTTTTGATATGACTGGAGCAGGGATCTGGCAATATGCAAACCCTATGGGGCCAATAAACAGACTTTTTGAGGCAGGATTATTATGTTCAAATCACAGCCGTTAATGATTTTATTATTTAAAGTCTAGAGTAAAACTTGCCGTATCGTACTACGAGGAACTGTTGTCAACTGTTGTCATAATTAACCCACCTCGTATGCTAGGGCTTCTATTTAGTGTATGTTTAGGTTTATATTATATCTGAATTAAACCATTTCACAGATAATTTCCTTTTTGCTCCCCAAAAAGATAATTGGAAGATTTCATTTTGTTAAAAACGCAGAAGAAGCATCAAAATACATTTCAATTGATGCCATACCTGAAGGACTTGGTGGTAAAATGGTGATCGTTAAAAAATAATTTGTCTGAAATGTAATTATATAATTAAGCATTTCGATGGATCATTCATGCCAAACGGATGTATTAAACC